CTCTACCACTTGAGCCACAGCACAACTTCCGGCTTTTTTCTTTTTGCTGATGTGGTGCTGAGGAATCGAACCCAGGGCCTCATGTATGCAAGGCAAGCGCTCTACCACTGAGCCACCTTCCCAGCCCTACCTGGGGGCCTCTTATCTCTAACAAACTCCCAGAAAACCAGAAGTGGTGCTGTGGCTCTAGTGGTAGAGCACTAATCTTGAGCTCAGGGTCAGCATCCAGCCCCAAAGTTCAAGCCCCACAATGAAAGAGAAAGAAAGGGAAAAAAAAGAAAGGAAGGAAGGAAGGTGTTGCCAGGCACTTGTGGCTCACCCCTGTAATACTATCTACTCAGGAGGCTGAGATCTGAGGATGGCTGTTCAAAGCCAACCCGGACAAGAAAGTCTGTGAGACTCTTATCTCCAATTAACTACCAGAAAACTGAAAGTGGTGCAGTGGCTCAAGTGATAGAGCATTAACCTTGAGCTGAAGAATTCAGGGACAGCACCCAGGACAAGAGTTCAAACCCCACAACCCACAAATTAAAAAAAGAAAGAAAGAAATTAGGTGTGCCACTATTTATAATTTATAATCATTATATTATCTTTATTTATTGTTCCTTGTATTAATACATAAAAGGAACAGTGTCTCTTCTAATTTTGGCTTGATAATTTGTCAGAGCATAGTCATTCTTGTTTCCAGGTTTCATTTGCTTGAAATATCATTCTATCTGTAGGAGTTACTTTTCTCATTGCTATGACAGAATGCCTGACAGAAACAACTTACTAAAGGAAAGATTTATTTTGGCTCAGAGGTGTCAGTCTGTTAGGGCAGGGAAAGCATGGCAGAGCAGAGTTCACATGGTAGATAAGAACCAGAAAGGGGGGATGGAGGCTTGGGCAACAGGAAAAAGCCAAGACAAGATATTGCACCCAAGGATATATCCCAGCAACCTGCTTCCTCCTACTAACAGCCATCCCCTCCCCCCTACACACACACATGCACACACTTTCTTAATGCTATCCTTTTATGAATCCATCAAGGGATTAATCCATTCATAACCTCAGAACCCTCATGATGTACTGTCTCTGGAAATGCTACCACAGACAAACTCAGATGTACTTTACTAATCTCCTAGGTGTTTCATTTTTTTTAATTATCTTTAAGCAATAGTACAAAGGAGTTTCAATTCAACATGTCAGTTTTTGAGTACCACTTCCATCCTTCTCCATCTGACCCAACCCCATGCATTCCTTCAAGTCACCTTACATATGTACAGTAAATATTATGGTGGGAAGGTATGTGGGTGTTCCTGTATGTGTGTGTGTGTGTGTGTGTGTGCGTGCGTGCGTGCTACTACCAGTGCTTGAACCCAGGACCTCAAAACTGGCCTTTTGCTGGTTCGTTAGGGATGGAGCCTCAAAGACTTTTCTGCCTCAGCAGTTTTTTGTTTTTTGTTGTCGTTGTTGGTGGTTGTGAAACTTGAACTCAGAGCCTGGACGCTGTTCCTGAGCTGTTTTGCTCAAGAGTAGCACTCTACCACTTGAGCCACAGTGCCACTTCCAGTTTTCTGGTGATTAGTTGGAGATAAGAGTCTCACAGACATTCCTACCTGGGTGGCTTTGAACCTCAATCCTCAGATCTCAGCCTCCTGAGTAGCTAGGATTTCAGGCATGAGCCACTAGAACACAGCAACTACTATTCTTTTTTTTAATATTTTATGCAATGCTGTATAGTGTTCATGAATTCTTTTAGTTTAGGATTATTTTGGAAGTTCTTTATATTTCCTCTAATTCTGAAGGATCTTTGCTGGATATAGCATTTGAGGTTGGCAGCTATTTTCCTTCTGAGCTTGAAATTCATCATTCTGTACATTCCTCAACTTATCACATCTACTTGCATTCTGAGAGGTTTGCCTTTGTAAGTTACATGGAACTTCTCCTTCATAACTTTCAATACTCTTTCTTTGTTCTGTATTCTTGTCATTTTAACTACAATATGATAGGTTTTATGGTCATGTGTGTTTAGGACTCTAAATGCACCTGTTCCTGGATGTTCATATTTTCCCACAATGTTGGATATTTTCTGCTTTTTTTTTTCCTTTTTTTGGTTGGTCATGGGGCTTGAACTCTGGGCCTGGGCGCTATCCCTCAGCTCTTCAGCTCAAGGCAAATGCTCTACCACTTGAGCCACAGCGTCACTTCTGGTTTTCTGGTGGTTAACTGGAGATAAGAGTCTCATGGACTTTCCTGCCCAGGCTGGCTTTGAACCATGATCCTCAGATCTCAGCCTCCTGAGAGGCTAGGATTACAGGTGTGAGCCACCAGCTCCTGGCTATTTTCTGCTATTTTTTTTCTTTTTCTTTTTTCTTTTCTTTTTTGGTTGGTCATGGATCTTGAACTCTGGGCCTAAGAGCTGTCCCTCAGCTTTTCACTTAAGGTTAGCGCTCTACCACTTGAGCCACAGGACCACTTTTGGCTTTTTCGGTTTATGTGGCACTGAGGAATAAAATCCAGGGCCTCATAAATGCAAGACAAGCACTCAACCACTGAGCCACCTTCCCAACCCTTCTGCTATTTTTTCAATGAAAAAAAAAATCTTACACCTTTAGTCTATGTCTTGGTGCTGCTGTGTGTGTGTGTGTGTGTGTGTGTGTGTGTGTGTGTGTGTGTGTGTGTGTGTGTGTG